CCCCTGCTCCCTATCCTTTTCCCCTTTCCCCTCTTCCCTATCCCCTACACTCCCTATATCCCCTCTGTTCCCTACATCCCTATATTCCCTGTACCCCCTCTCCCCCTCCCCTGACGGCCGTGTCGGTGTCTCCGCAGCACTTTTGACGTGGTGGTGGTGGGTGCCGGGATCGTGGGACTGGCAGCAGCCCGGGAGCTCATCCAGCGTCACCCCTCGCTGTCCTTCGCCGTGCTGGAGAAGGAGAAGGAGCTGGGTACGGAGCGGGTGAGGTGACCAGTCCTTCCAGAGGCTGTGCCAAAGCACACGCTGCCAAAACCTCAGGATTTCATGGACATCCCTGTAGCTGCTGTGGGAGAGCCCTTGTCACTGAAGTGGGTGATGGATGTCCTATCCCTGGAAGTGTCCAAGGCCAGGTTGGATGGGGCTTGGAGCAACCTGGGCTAGTGGAAGGTGTCCCTGCCCATGGCAGGGGGTGGAACAAGATGGGCTTTAAGATCCCTCACAACCCAAACCACTCTGGGATTCTGTGATGATTTTCCCTTTGGGACCAGCATCTGCATTTCCTGGCACCACTGGCTTTACCCTAACAAAAAATTCCTTTTACTCTTCTCCCAAGGACACATCCTTCAGTGGAGAAGCAGAGTTTTCATCAGTCTGTGCTGCACTGCTGGGACTTCCAAGTCAAACTTTAAGCTGAAGTCAGACTTTAAACCTAATGTCAGACTTTAAGTTAAAAAATCGTGAATGTTCACTGTCTGAAAGCTCCAGGTCTGACTCCTGGGGCTCCAGCAGCTCAGGAATGTCAGGAGAGAGGACAAGGAGGGTGAACAACCAGAGTAAGGAGCAGTGCAGGTAGAAGGGCAAGGGTAGATCCTGCAGGGAGCTGAAGGAACCCCAGGGGATGGATACATTTAATTTTAAAAATTAGATTTCTTAAAATTAATTTTAGCATGTAAAATATTTTTATCTTATTTATTTATTTGCTCTTGGAGGAAAAACTTGTGGATTTGGGGGGGTTTCGTCCCTGTTGATCCAACACATAGTAAGGTGGGATGGATTATCATTAACCAGGACATGCTGTGTCACTGTTTCTCTAACCTTCTGAGACCAAGGGAGGAATTCACTGTGTTTGCTGTGCAGTTACTCATTTGAGCATCTCTTGCAACGCTGATTTAAGGCAGGACCTTCAAACAACCCACTTTTCAGGCAGCTGAAAGTGATTAAGTGTGAACAAATGTATTTTAATAATGTATTTTCCTTTCTCTTTAGCTCATCACCAGAGTGGAAATAACAGTGGTGTGATCCACAGTGGGATTTACTACACCCCTGGCTCCCTGAAGGCCAAGCTGTGTGTGCAGGGTGCAGCCCTCTGCTACCAGTACTGTGACCAGAAGGGAATTCCATACAAACAGTGTGGGAAGGTACAGGAATTCCTGTCTGTTCTTACCTTACCTTTGGAAACTGAGGCTGTGTGATGTACAGCACAGGCCTGGTTGTGGTCTTTTCTCAAAAATAGGAGTTTCTGCAACACTTACTGCCTTCGGGATGAATATCCCCTTTTGTTTTCTTGTTTCCAGCAACTCAAATCAGTTGCTTTTCTGGGTCTAAGTAATAATTCTCCTTATCTGTTGGCTGAGCTGGAACAGAATCATGGAATCACAACTTCCTCACGAGGGGCAGTGGAGGGGCAGCACTGATCTCTCTCTCTCACCAGAGACAGGACCCGAGGGAATGGCTGGAGCTGTGCCAGGAGAGGGTCAGGTTGGATCTCAGGACAAGGCTCTTCCCCCAGAGGGTGGTTGGCACTGCCCAGGCTCCCCAGGGCAGTGGGCACGGCCCCAAGGCTGCCAGAGCTCCAGGAGGGTTTGGACAATGCTCTCAGGGATTGTTGGGGTGTCCTGGGCAGGGTCAGGGATTGGACCGGATGATCCTTGTGGATCCCTTCCAGCTCAGGGAGTTCTGTGATCCCAGGTAATGATGGAATCCAACTCCCATGGAGGGGCACCTGTGTAGCTCCAAGGTGCCCCTCCATGGGAGTTGGATTCCATCATCCACACAGACTTTCACTATGTGCTTGCCAAACTTCCTGGCATATGAGGCTCTGAAAAGTCACAGTGACTTGAAAACCACTCCAGATGTGCCCCAGCTCCACATGTTCATCCCATGTTACATCCACCCACCACAGAAGGGTGGCTGCACTGATTCAGTCTGGGGTCTCCCCAACCCTATATCCTGTTTCTGGAGTTGTCTGTAAGCAGAGACCCAGGAAGGAAGGAGAAATGACAAGCAAATTATTAATTCTCCAACCTTTCAACTGTGTTCAGCTCAGGTTATGTTCTGAGCCTGAGCTCTTCCATCAGTGGTAACTCTCAATGAATTTCTCTTCCAAGTGTCTTTCCATTAAAGTCTTTTGCATCAGAGCACACTTTGAGGAGCACTTCCAGAGATCAACAACCCGCTCCATGGAGTTACATCACTTTGGAACTGGCTCCTACAACCTTCACCCAGTGGTCCCTGTCCCTTGTGCTAGAGGAGATGGTGAACTGTTGATCTGGGCTCACACTCTCCAAGTTGCACATAATTTAATATCTCCTCTTCCCCCAAAATCCTCTTTCCCAGCTGGTGAGTCTTACTCTGCTGTCATTCCTCTTGGAGAAGCTTTTTCATGGCTTTCCCTGTCCTGTCTTTGTGCTCTGAACCATTTCTAATTCAGTGTGTCTTGGGTACAAGGCAAGGAGTAGAGCTGTGCAGAGCATTCCAGGTGTGGTCAGACTCTGGAGTTTTGCAGTGAAATACTAGAGTTCTCTGTATTACCTCATATCCTTTTCCTAATTGTTCCTAAAATTCAGTTCAGGGCTCTCCAGCCATCACTAGGCTGCTGTTTCCATAGGATTGTCTCTCCTAACCCCGAGGTCTTGGCCCCGAGGGATAACTTTGAATTTCATAATTTTATATTGAGGCTGAGGCTGCTTTTTCTGATCATATGTTGCACCAAAGGAAGTTTAGATTAGATATTGAGAAAGAATTTTTTATGGAAAGGGTTGTTCAGCCCTGGCACAGCTGCCCAGGGCAGTGGTGGAGTCCCCATCCCCGGAGGGATTTAACAGCCCTGTGGATGTGGCACTGGGGGACATGGGTCAGTGGTGGCCTTGGCAGTGCTGGGTGATGGTTGGACTTGTGATCCTGGAGGGCTTTTCCAGCCCAAACAATTCCCTGATTCTGTGATACTTCCCTGGCAGTGTTCATTCCAGGGAAGAGGATGGCGAGGCTTTACAAGAAGTTTTACACAAAGCAGCCCCAGGCTTGGAGAGCTTCATGCCTGTGGGCCAGACCTGAGCTAGGCCTGGAAGTATTATGGGTATTATGGTCTGTGCAAACCTGGCACAGGTAATTCAAGGTAATCCACCTCCTGTGGTAGTTGTGAGCAAACTCCATATGGGTAAATGAAGTGGAGCTGGTGCAGTCACCATGTCAGAACATACCTTTATTCTCTTACTGAGGCTGAGATTTGCACCTCTTGGGTTTTAAGTTCAGTTTTATTTACTTTTGAAACATCCCAGTGGCTCTTTAAATTCATATTCCCTTCATTCACATTCAGATTTGTAGTCTCGTGGTACTTTTTGCAAATATTACCCCTTGACAGTAACTTCAAACTGCAGTTTAACGTTTGGTTTTTTCACTCTCCATAATACACTAGTGCTTTGTCAGCACTGATATTAAATTATAGAATCTTGTGCAACCAACCATTTCCCCCCTCTTCCCTTGATTTATATCATTCCCTGTTCACTCATTCCCTGTTGCTTGGGCTCGGTGCCAGACCTGCCCTGGCTCTGTGTGTTTTGCTCACTGCTGTGCCCTTGTTGTCTCTCCCACAGCTGATTGTAGCCGTGGAACAGGATGAAATCCCGAGGCTCAAGGCTCTGTATGAGAGGGGGCTGCAGAACAACGTCCCAGGGCTGAAACTCATCGGGGCAAAGGAAATCCAAGCCAAGGAGCCCTTCTGCAGGGTAAGGGAATTGTCCTGCTTCTCATTAGCTCAGTTTCTCAGGTGACAACATGTTATAGTTTAACATAAATATGCTCCTGGCCTTGAGGTAATTTCCACGAGTGACAAGTTCAGAAGAGCCTGAAAATTCCTTCCCGTGTCTGAGTTTCAGTCCAGTTGCTTCCTCCAGGAGTGGTTGTTATGTAGGACTTCTCAGCCTGTTTATTTTCACAGCAGGAGAAACATGTGGAGTTTATGGAATACAGATTTGTTGTCAATGAGTCTATCTTTGATTGAAAGGAAAACCTGGATATAAATTCCCTGTGCTGTTTCATCTGGCATCTTGCTGTTGGTGTTATGAGTGGTCGTAGGAGCAGACAAAAATTATCTGGAAAAGAACCTTTTTTTTTTTTTAATCCTTTTTTTTTTTTTGTCTTGTGAACATTTTGTCTCTGCTCCTTAAAACATTCTTTGCGTGTTCAAGATCCAGCTGAGCAAGTGGGGAGACACCAGCACTCCCTTCTCATGGCAGTGCACATCATTCCAGATGGAATATTCCAGCCTTCACTCTTCTTCTGTGTCTTTAATGCCATTCCAGGGTCTGATGGCCCTTGATTCTCCATACACTGGCATTGTGAATTACAAACAAGTGGCCCAGTCCTATGCTGAAGATTTCCAGGAAGCAGGTGGGACAATCTTGACAGATTTTGAAGTCACAAACATGGAGATGGCTAAAGAAAGTTCTCCAGGAAGTGAAGATGGTAAGGCAGGCGTTTTTTTTTGCCCTCCATTTGTTTTAACTGTAATGAATTTTTGAACCTTTCTGTCTCCTAGGGATGAGGAAAAAGGCAAAATTATGTTAGTGAGAGTATTCAGCAAACTCACTTTGGGGTTTATTTGCAAGCAGGTCACCCTTCAGCTGAAACATTTCAAGCTGATGGAAAAAAACAACAGTAGAATTGAGGAATAAGGTTGTTCTCTCCCATTAAAATCAGATTTAGCTGAATCTTTCATGTGTGTTCTTGTGATAGTGAGTTTTCCTTATCCTAGAAGGCAGGTTGGATCTGTCCTGGCTCACATGTGGAAGAATAAAAAAAATCCCTATTCATAAATACAGTTATGTCCAAAAACATCAGTTATGACAACTATAGTTGTTCCATAACTTGAAGATATTCCAAAGGAGAAATCCCTCCTGGTAACAAGCTGCATGTTCTGTCACTTCTCTGTTACTTGTTCCATTAATTCCTTCTCTTGTCCAATTCTGTTACAGGACTGAAGCACCCAGTCATTGTTAGGAACAAAAAGGTAAGAACGAAGCAGAAGTTTAAGTTCCTTACAGGAAGCTGTTTCTCCTTTTCTTAAGACTTTTTTTTCCTTGAGTCCTGGTGGATTAATCATCTCAGCCTGATTTAATAAAACAGCTGCAATCAGTTCTTAACAATGAGCATGTTCAAATTTTATGATGATAATAATAATGTAAAATAATTAAGTGTAACTTTTCTGCTGCCTCACTTGTGTTTTACTGTCCCTTATCTGCTTTATTTGCCCAATCTTACTCTCGTAATCTTTCCAAGGATTCCTTTTATGACTTGTCCATTTGGTGACAAACTCCTCTTTTCCTGTTTGCTTTTGGACTTTGGCATCTATAAAGTGATAAGGAGGGATTTAGCATCATTTTATTGTCATTTTATTATAAGAAAGCCACAAGCAGATGTAAAACACCTGCATATGCAGGTGGTGTTCCTGCAAGTCAGAGCTGCCCAGGAAATGTGGTTGTGACCTTGTCACCTTCAAGCAAGAATATCTGGACCAAAACCAACTTCAAAACCCTTCCAGTATTTTATATATTTAGTTCTGCTGGTTTTTTTTCTTCTGTTTTTGCTCTTTCATTATAAAGTAGCTTCCAAAATCTGTTAAGATTCCTTCACCAAATACTGGTATTTTTTGATGCAAATATTTTTAGTTGAAAGAAAAATCCCCATAGAATTTAAAAACAAATACTAAATAATGAGCTAAATAAATGGGTAATAGTTTGTGATTTGATTTTCTTTAATTAGATTATAAGGTGTTTAAATATTTAGCAGCCCTCCATATCTGTGTGCTGTGAATTTTTGGGTCTGAAAAAGCCTCGTTACCGCTCCCGCCCTGTGGGGTGAAATCAATGACCAGCCTTATTTATCCAAACATGCATGGTTGTGGTTTTTCCTGAGTTGCTTTTAAGTAGATATGTTGAATTTTTGTGTGTTTTGGGGTCTGTTCTTTTCCAAAAGGGTGAGGAAATCTCCTGTGGGCACCTTTTGACCTGTGCAGGGCTTTACTCCGACCGCCTCTCCGAGATCAGTGGCTGCAGCCCCGAGCCCAGGATTGTCCCATTCCGGGGGGATTATTTGGTGCTGAAACCAGAAAAGTGCTATTTGGTGAAAGGGAATATTTACCCGGTATGTTTTCCCTGGACTGTGGGCTCCAAGAACTGCTAAAACTGCAGAAACAGGGCAAAATTCCGGGGTTATTTTTGTTAGGGATGCTCAACTCGTGGATGGAGGTTGGGGTGTTTTTTGACAGAAACTCTGGCTTATTTCTCTATGTTCTAAAATAAATCTGTAGGGAGGATTCAGAAGTCTCAATGAGAGACAACAGTAAATAATTATTTCTTATTTACTTTTTTAAAATTATTATTTAAATAGTTATAACAGTCCTGTGTAATGTATTTATTGATAGTCTGAATGAGAGGATTGACTGTACCCTCAGGAAGCTCACAGGGGACACTGGAGGTCTTTTCCAAACTAAATGATTCTGGGGTGAAACACAGGGTTTAATCTCATGTGCTAATATCCACTTATTACTTTATTAATTATTTATTAATTATTATTTTATCAATGCCAGTTATATATCAGTTCTAATACCAGTTAAATACCCGATTATTAACTAATACCAGACTTAAATATTTGCCTCTCAGCCTCATTTTTTAATTAGCTTTGCTTTGTGTCATTAAAAAAATAGACATGGGAGGAAAAGGACAACCCTTCCACCATCTAAAATAGACAAATAATGGGATGAAGAGGAGCAATCCCAGAGAGAAAGTATAGTTATAAAGCAAGAAGAGGGAATTTCTGGGGCAGCATTTTAGCTAATTCTGCAGTACATTGAAATGCTGCCTTTCTGAATATGAGCTTGAATTTGCCTGGATCTTTAGGAAAATTGTGGAACTCTGAGTATTGGGTGTTTGTCTGACCTCTTTTCAGCAGGGAATCATCCAGGATCCTGTCTTGGGATGGGAGGGAGGAACTGGAACAAAAAAGGAAACTGCAGATGTATTATTATTGTTGTTGTTGTTGCTGCAGATTTTTTATTATTATTATTATTATTATTATTATTATTATTATTATTATTATTTAGTGTTAATATTAATCAGACCTGCTGAGTGCAGGTTGTTCTGAGCTGTACAGGCCTGTGAGGTTTCCCTAATATTGTGTAGTCCCTTTTATTGCAGTGTAATTGCTGCTGGTGAATAGCATTAGTGTGTCTTTGGTTTTGTTGTGGGTTGATTTATATCCTGAGAAATCATGTGGACTTTTGTTTTCCCCCTGTTTGTTTTCCTTCTAAGATTCAGCCCTACCTTCCTGAATCATCTTCGGTGTTTTAATTAATTACAAGCTATAACCGCACAATTAACGAGCAGAAAAACAGGAGACAATTTTATGGTTCAGTGACTGGGATTTGGTTGTGGTGGTTGGAAATAAACCAGCCCAATTTACTGTTTGTAGCAGCTGCAATAACTCCTGTAATCCCACTTCAGGTTCCCAACCCTCGGTTCCCCTTCCTGGGATTCCATTTCACGCCCAGGATGGACGGCAGTGTCTGGCTTGGACCTAATGCAGTGTTGGCCTTTAAGAGAGAGGGCTACAACCTGTTTGACTTCAGCACTGGAGACTTTTTGGATGCTGTAACCTACAGGTGAAGCTTTGTCTTTTTGTCTGCTGGGATGCTCTTTTTTTAAATATCCGCTTCTCGCTAAAAATCCTGCTTTCCCCGAGTTTTTGGTGTGTTTAAAGACAGTTGTGCCGGGAAAGGTGGAATTCTCCAAGGCATTTGGCTTCGTGTGATTTATATTTGAATTTTCATAAACCAGCAGGACATGTCTCAGCCAGTCTGGGAATGTGGCTGCTCATCAGAAGGTGCTGGTGGAGCTATTCCAGGAATGGTTTTTGTCCAGTGCACTGTAATACTTTAATCAACCCAGACAGTGTGATTAAAATACCTGAAGAAGATTCTTGGGAGAGAGACAGGCTGGGAGAGCTGGGGGTGTCCAGCCTGGAGAAAAGAAGGATCCAAGGAGACCTCAGAGCCCCTTCCAGAGCCTAAAGGGGCTCCAGGAGAGCTGGAGAGGGACTGGGGGCAAGGGATGGAGGGGCAGAACAACCAGGAATGGCTTCCCACTGCCAGAGGGCAGGGTTAGGTGGAATACTGGGAAGGAATTCCTGGCTGTGAGGGTGGTGAGGCCCTGGCACAGGTTGCCCAGAGAAGCTGTGGCTGCCCCTGGATCCCTGGAAGTGTCCCAGGCCAGGCTGGATGGGGCTTGGAGCAACCTGGGCTAGTGGAAGGTGTCCCTGCCCGTGGCAGGGGGTGGAATGAGATGGGATTTAAGGTCCCTTCCAACCCAAACTATCCTGGGATTCTGTGATCTGTAGGAATGCTTATTACCAAGTGCTCAATTTTGGAAATTAGACTTGAAAAACAATATGAAAATATTATGGAGGATCCAAGGAAAGGCTGAAAAACAGGTCAGGGCACTGGAAAAGAGCTTTCTGTCAAACAGCTCAATTTAATTCAGTTTATTGAGTAAATAGTTGAAAGCACCTTTATCATTGCCTATGGATTTTTATAGGGGAAGACTTGAGGAAAGCAGAGCAAGCAAACAAGGTTTGCAAAGACACAGCAAGATTCAGTGACTGAAAGCTGAGGGGTTTGGGAGTGTGATGAACTTTTCAGGATGACTGTGGGGAAAAAGTCCCAAGTGTCATGTCTGTCTTCCCTTGGCATTTGACTGGACCAGAGAAAAATGCTGGATGTAGGAAGGAAGCTCATATCATTCCACCCTGTGCCATGGGCAGGGACACTTTCCACTATCCCAGGTTGCTCCAAGCTCCATCCAACCCATCTGTGAACATTTCCAGGACTGGAGTTCAGAGTTAATTCCCTGAAAATGTAAATGCAATGCTCCATCCCTGTGAAAAAAGATTTATTGAAGCAGGGAAGGGCAAACATATGTTCCTCAAATAAAGCATATGGGATCCCCGATGCTGGGAATGGGAATTCCCGCCGTGCAGTTCCATTTGCTGCCTTCCTTGACAGCTTTAGTTGGACCTGGCTGCATTTTGGTGGGAGATTTGTTTTTGCTGCAGTGATTTTTTTTGTTTTCCTCCCTGCAGTGGGCTGTGGAAGCTCGTGCTCAGGAACGTGTCCTACGGCGTGGGGGAGATGTACAGAGCCTGTTCCCTCAGTGCTCAGGTGAAGCAGCTCCAGAGGTTCATCCCTGAGGTCACCACCAATGACGTGCTCAGGTAAAGGAAGCTTTTCCTGTCAGGAACACCCGGGGGCTCTGTTCAAAATCTTGTTTTAACAGGGGCAAACATGGCATGGACTCTCTCTCCTCCTGCACCAAAATATGTTACTAAAGCTCAGAGCTGTCTCCAGCTCTGGGGTCCCAGCACAGGAAGGACATGGAGCTGTTGGAGTGAGTCCAGAGGAGGCACTGAGATGATCAGAGGGATGAATCACCTCTGCTATGAGAAAGGCTGGGACAACTGGGATTGTTCAGCCTGGAGAGGAGAAGCTTTGGGGTGACCTGATTGTGGCCTTCCAAGACATGAAGGAGCTGACAGAAAAAATGGAGAGAGACTATTGACAAGGGCCTGGAGGGACAGAACAAGGGGGAATGGCTTCCCACTGCCAGAGGGCAGGGATAGGTGGGATATTGAGAAGAAATTCTTGGCTTTGAGGGTGGGGAGGCCCTGGCACAGGTTGCCCAGAGAAGCTGTGGCTGCCCCTGGATCCCTGGAAGTGTTCCAGGCCAGGTTGGATGGGGCTTGGAGCAACCTGGGCTAGTGGAAGGTGTCCCTGCCCATGGCAGGGGATGGAATGAGCTGGGCTTTAAGGTCCCTTCCAACCCAAACCATTCTGTGACACTTTGCACAGGAAAATTTTCTACATGGTATTTGCTTGTGTACAGGCAGGTTTGATGAATAGTTATGTGACTTTCTACACTCTCCAGAGCCTGAAATGAACTCTTGTGACATATCCTCTATGAAGAAAAGGCCTCTTTATCCTAGTGACACATTCAGTAGCCTGAACATAATGTGAGTTCACAAAGGAAGCAAAACATGAAATTCAGGGGGGAAACCAGACTGTGAGTTTCTACTGAGTGAATAGTGACTGAGTTTAATCATCTCAATAAAATTGTATTTGGTTTCTTGCTGTGTGGAGAGAGAAACTAATTCAGAGGAGTTCAGAAATTCCAAAGGGACTGAAGAGGCTCGTGAGGAAAGAGGAGGCATTTGAGTACATGGAGGTGGGTTTAACTGTCCGAACATTTGCAGGGAGAAAATACAGAATAAGAAAAGGCCAGCCATGGTGAGAAGGAGTTACCCAGGTCTGGCAGCACACCAGGGGCATGAAATTCATGTCTTACAAGGTTTGGTGTTTCAAAACAAAGGGTTTCCTTCTTGGAAAGACAGGGCATGTTTGTGTCAGTGTGGGAGAGTAACTTCTCAACCAGGAAGGACAGAGGAGATCCTCTGCTTGACTGCCTGCCCTTGTTCTGTGGCAGTGATCTCTTGCTGGAAAGGGTGATCAGGCATTGGAAGGGGCTGCCCAGGGAGGTTTGGAGTCCCCATTCCTGGAGGTGTCCAAGGAATGACTGGACGTGGCACTCAGTGCTCTGGGCTGGTGGGGATCGGCCACAGGTTGGACTGGATGGTCTGGGAGGGCTTTTCCAACCTCAGCGATTCCATGACTGTGAGACATCCCCTGCTCTGCCTCACGAGTGTTCAAGCTCCCCTAAAAGGCTTTGACTCCACACTCTGCCTTCCTCACTGTCCCCCTTCCCAAGGGAATTGATCTCCCGACTCCACCAGCAGCAGGAAAATGTCTCCTGAGCTCCTCCTTGGTTTTGCAGGGGCCCCTCTGGAGTGAGAGCTCAGGCGCTGGACAGCGCCGGGAATTTGGTGGATGACTTTGTGTTCGATGGAGGCACTGGAGGCCTCGGGAGCAGAGTCCTCCATGTCAGGAACGCCCCTTCTCCCGCTGCCACCTCCTCCCTCGCCATCGCCGGGATGATCGCGGACGAAGCCAAGAGACGCTTTGAGTTGTGAGGGACTGGAAGCTGTTGGGGAGGTTTCCCTCTGGAATGTGGGACTGACTGAACTTCTTAAGGGCACAGATCAAACAGGCGACGTGGTGCTTTCCAGGCCGGCGGAAAACCAGCATTTGGAATGTTCTCCTTTGCCCATGACTTCTCGGCGTCGTGGATTAAGGAGTTGTGGTGCCTGGTGAGGTCCAGCCACCTGCAAGGGGGGCTTGTCCACCTGAGGAACCAGCACAACTTGAGGGTCTCCAGCCACAGGTGGAGCAGGAAGAGCCTCTGTGGTGGGATTATCCGTATTATTCCCATGCCTCTGGTTGGAACGTTGCCTCCTCGGAGAACTGGTGGGTCTGAAAAACCACAGGCACGGGGTGGTTCTCTGGGTGATTCCTCTCTGATTCCGTTTAAATTGGAGCCTACAGCCCTCTAGATTACATGAAAGTAATGGAATAGAAGGATAAGCCCTGCTTAAGGGTCCTGCTGATATGGAATTAAGGGTTTTATCAGAGATTGAAAACAATGTTCAGAGCCTTTGACGTGAATGTAGATTATTTCACAGAAAAATAAGCTTAGCAAGGATTACCAAACCCAAGTCCATTTAGATGTGCAATTCAGATACACTGTCTGATCACTGCCTCTATTTGTTATAGAGCTGAAAATGGAAATATGGACATAAACAGTCATTTTTCATTTAATTTACAGCTGGGAATCAGCACTGATCAGAAACTATTTCAGTGGGTTTGGGTTTTTTTTTTACCTTTGAATACTGGTAATGCAGCAGGAGCTGATCTTAGTGCAAGCTGTTGAGCAATCCAGAGGAAATGGTCTTTGCAAAAGCAAATGTGAAGGGAGGGAAGCTCCAGAAACCTGCCTTAATTGAGTCATGTTGTTTCCCTGGGAGCCCAAACAGGGATGAGTCAGGGAGGCTTCCCATTTCCCACAGGGCTGGCACAGGGGGAGCTCAGACAGTGCTGGTGACTCTTCTGAACTCTGTTGATACTCAGCTTTTATCAGAGATAGACCTGGAAGAGTCTGGGGAGAGAGAGATGTCAAATAATCCTGGTCCTGAGCTGAGTTATCTCGGTGTGCTCTGCAGCGTTGCTATAAAACAGAATTTTATGGCCTCAGGGACAAAGTGCTTGCTGATACTTGTAAAGCAGAAGTTCACAGGATGTTGGCTAACACAGATCACTGTGGGCAGTTTGTACCAGGCAAGCTGACACACATTTTTCATGAAAAAGTGATTTTCTGAACTCCTCTGAGCATGAAGTGTGGGTTAGCACAGGAGGGCAGGTGTGTGGCTGATGTTTTACTGTGCAGAGCTGAGACACTTTTGAGGGGGGGAAAAAAGGGCTTAACCTGCCTTTTTTTTTTTCCTTAATTTTTTTCTCCTGGTGACACCTGCTTTACCAGAAAAGCGACTCCTGGAAATTCAAACCCCCTCAAAGCAAAGCTTTGCTCGCTGTTCCGAGCCCCAAATACCAGGAGACAGAGATTCAGTTATTCCAGATGCTCCAGTGCCACAGGGATGTGTAAAACTCCTCACTGTGGAACAATCCTCTCTTCCCTCCCTGCCAGAAGTGTTGCCTCTCAACAGTAAATCCTACAAAAGGGTTGCAAAACCAACTTCCTCCCACACGAGGTGTGGCCCTGACATGTATTAACAGAATAAGGAACACTGAAATGTAAAGCAGACAGAGACCAGGGGGAATCTTAAGTCAGCACATTTCCCTGTGTTTCTTTCCTCTCAGGTGATGGTTATTTTGGGGTAAAGTTTAATTGAAACTTAAATTATGAATCTTGATGTAGCATTCTGTGAAATACAAATATTTTTAGAGATAAAAGTTATAAACTGTCGTTAAAAAAATGACTTCAGAGATTATAATAATGGGGTTTCAGACATAAATCTTGTTGCCCATGAAGCGTGAAAATGTATTAATTTATTTTCCAAATGGGTCTAATTCATTTTGATGACTTTATAAATGTGCCTTTTTCTATTATGATTAAAATAGTGTGGTGGGTTTTTTTTTTGAATTGCTGTAAAATCCATGTGTTTCTCCTGACTCAGAGAAAAGTTTCACTGGTATTTGCTAATTCTCCCCTGAATTAGGCAGGATATTGCTCTGTATGACAGGAATTACTTTATTTAGGAGGGGGGGACACATGACCAAACTTGTCTTCCTAAATTATCTTATCTGTGCTTCTCACACCTCACAGCTTTTCCTCACTAGACAGAACTGGTCTTGAGGCTGATCTGGGCCTGTCGTGGCACGTGGGATGGGAATTCCTGACATTCTGAATAAATGTGTGGACAAACTCAATTTGTTCCCCAGAAGTGTCATAGAATCATGGAATCCCAGACTGGTTTTGGGTTGGAAGGGGCCTTAAAGACCAGCCAGTTCCACCCCCTGCCATGGGCAGGGACACCTTCCACTAGCCCAAGTTGCTCCAAGCCCTCTTCCAGCCTGGCCTTGGACAGTTCCAGGGATTCAGGGGCAGCCACAGCTTCTCTGGGCAACCTGTGCCAGGGCCTCCCCACCCTCCCAGCCAGGAATTCCTTCCCTGTCTAAACCAATGACTCTGGGAAGAGTTTGCAGTCCCAGATCCGTGGAACTGCAGGTCCGTGGATCACACCACAATTATCCCGAGGTCACACTTGGAATTACCTTTTTCTTCTTCCTCACAGTTTGGGGTTGAGGAACAAGTGTTTTCCCCCAGAAATAAGTGTTTTGGTGGGAACCTCCCAGGCTGCTCTGGTGGGGCAGGAAAGTTGAGCCACAGAGCACAAGGAGTTGTTGCTGCCTCTGGAAGTGCCGGGTTCCTCCAGGAAATCTGTCACAGAGAAGGATCTCACTGGCAGAGAGGCACTTTTTTTTCCTGGTTTAATTTATCCACTCCTTTTGTAGACCAGTCTTAAAATGGGAAGTAGGGGGTAGATAAGGTGTCAGATTTGGATATGATGCTGTTGGGAGGGAAATGAGGGGAAGTTTGGCTGGAGTTGGGTGGCCACTGGATGGAGGGAACAGTGACAGTGGCATTCTCCGGGGTAGGGAGGGAAACTGCCTCCAGGTAAGGATGGAAACAGTCTCCAGGTAGGGAGGAATACAGCCTCCAGGTAGGGAAACAATCTCCAAGTAGGGAAGGAAACAGCCTCCAGGTCGAGAGAAAAACAGTCTACCCGTAGGGATGGAAACAGCCTCCAGGTAGGGAGGAATACAGTCTCCAGGTAGGGAAAGAAACTGTCTCCAGGTAGGCAGATAACCTCCAAGCAGGGAGGGAAACAACCTCCAAGCAGGGAGGGAAACAGCCTCCAGGCAGGGAGAAGAACAGTCTCCAGGCAGGGAAACTGCCTCCAGGTAGGGAGGGAAACTGCCTCCAGGTGGGAAGCAACACAGCCTCCAGGCAGGGGAGAAAGCTGCCCCCAAGTAAGGATGAAAAGAGCCTCCAGGTACAGAGGAAAACTACCTCCAGGCAGGGAAATAACCTCCAAGTAGGGAGGGAAAGAGCGTTCATGTAGGGAGGAATACAGCCTCCACATAGGGATGGAAAGTGCCTCCAGATAGGGAGAGGCACATCCCCCAGGAGGGAGAAGCACAACCTCCAGGTAGGAATGGAAACTGCCTCTGGGTAGGGAGAACAGCACCCACGTAGGGAGGAAAACTGCCCCCAAGTAAGGATGGAAACAGCCTCCAGGTGGGGAAATAACCTCCAAGCAAGGGAGGGAAGCAGCCTTCGGGTAAGGATTGGAAACAAGCTCCAAGCAGGCAGAGGCACAGCCTCCAGGCAGGACTGGAAACAGCCTCCAGGAAGGGAGAGAAACTGCCTCCAGGTAGGGAAATAACTTCTAAGCGGGGATGGAAACAGCCTCCAGGCGGGGATACACCTTCCAGCCGGGGCGATCCCCCGCGGGCCGGGAGCACCCTCAGGCCCCGGAGCGGGACGGGCCCCGCTCCCGGCGGCGCCCGCGGGGGGCGCTGCGGGCTCAGTGCGCAGGCGCGCAGGGCGGCGGCGGCAGCGGGGCCGCAGCGAGCGGGGCC